TGGGAACCTTATAAAAAAAAAAAAAGTAACTTCCTTTTAAAGCATAAAACTAATTCTGCATCAAAAGATAAAATTCTGCAATGCTTCTAACCCTTTACTATATTGATTGAATCAAGATGGACCATCTTTCCTTTCTATTCCCTTGTTGCCAGACTATACAATCTACAGCACAATACAGAGATGTTCAGTGAATAAATTTGTTTCAGAGAAATGACTTATTGAGTAGTGCTTAAGCTTCAGAACCCTGCTTTTTAAGCTTATTCACATTGGGATTTTTTGTTTTTTCGTTTGTTTGGTTTTTTTTAATCTTTCCAAGATCATCATTAGGTTACTTTATCTGACCTGAGGATTTTCTTTTGTAAGAACTTGAATTGGTGAAATTGTGGGCTGTATTTGTTAGTCCCAAACACACTATGCAAAATGTGCTTTGTTAACACTCATGGCGGTATTGTAATAGAGAGGTAATACCAATAAGTATGCAGGTGTTCTCTGGATGTTCCAACTTTTCCTCAATTAAGAAGAAAAATAAAATCCTTCTGTTATTGCATTGGACATATGGGCATCTGATTAATAAGCAAAACAAGTTGTAGTTCTACTGGCCTGTCTTGTGGATACACCCTCTCTGTCTTTTCTTTCTTGAGGGGGAAGGGGGAAGTTGATTAAAAAGCTTGTTGTGTTTTTTTTAATGCTTTTCTGGAGCAATCTGATCTCTTCCAGTTGTATGGAAGTATCTGTCCACATGTGCTGTCTCCCTGTGTCTCTGTCACTCCCTCTGAAATGTTCATGTTTCTTTGGCTGTCTCCTCTTCACTTTCGTCTGTCCTTCTCCTACATGGTATCTCCTCTTTCCCCACAGGACTATGAGAGCAAACTGCAGGCTTTGCAGAAGCAGGTTGAGACAAGATCCCTAGTTGCTGAGACAACAGAAGAGGAGGAGGAAGAGGAGGAGGGTAAGCTTTAAAAGAACAGAGTGTTTTAGTGGGAGGGGAGGAGGTTTCTAAAACTGAGACGGGCATCCTGCAGCACGGGTGCCACAAGTGACGTTGTTGACACTGGATTTGGACCCGGCACCTATACCTTTGTTCCGGGCAGGCGCAACCCTCAGATTGAGCACAGGACCTGCCAGTCTATAATAGGCAAATTTATTGGTACAGAGCGATAACAAAAAAGCAACAATACAAACAGTCAAACAATTCTGTATCGACCAATCCTAGGGCTGTCATCAGAGTCCAAGTACATCTGGTCAGGATGCAGACTTCACTCTGAGGCTCGCTCTCTTGGGTGTCAGCAGTCTGGAGGTGGGATGCTGAGGGCCCACACCTCCCCACAGTGGGGTGCATGAGATGGGCTACTGGTATGCCCTTGGTCCATGGTGGCCTTGGGGACCCTTCCCGGGTGACAGATGGGGATGGGAACCCCTCTCAGGGAGCAAAACGGAGAGGGAGGGACGGAAGGGACCTTTTCTTACTCTCAAGTCTCTGCTTTTGTGTTCTCCTTCCCCTTGATGACTCCTCATCCATGGCTATCTCTGGTTGGTTGTGTCTCTGTGGTCTCACATGTCCACGTAGCCTTCTGGGCCTTCCCCTAATTTGGTTTGTTCCCCCAAAACCAGGATTTAGGCCCACCTTCTCTCTGAGGCCTTGTTGCTGGTGTCACTTACCATGTGTTATGGGACAGTATGGCACATACAGCCTTTGGTTCCTAGGCTGTGTCCTTGTTGTCTTAGACAACCCTTCTGCCTGTAGGGCCATACGAAGCTGTGTGTTCATCTCCTAAGCTCTTTAGAAATCCATTTAACCCCAGCTGCCCATCTTTTCAAATGTGTATATCTATACCTAGAAGCCAGTTCCCAAAAAACCAGGCCTTTAAATACCTTTTCTAAGCCAACAACATGGACAGCCTCCATGTGTTGCTTGTGGCAGATAGGCAGAAAGGCAAGGAGCAGAAAGCAGCGCATCAGATCAGGCAGAGAGCACAGGACGGGGAACGGAAAGTGGAGCAGCAGATCAGAGTGGTATTTAGGGAGGATGCAGGGCTAATTTGTAGCACACCTGTCAAAAAGGTTGGCTTCCACTGCTCTAAAGGAAGCTGCGTTATAGGGACATTTGCTGTAGCTGGAAATAGAATTTTAGAAGATTGTGAAACAGTGGGCAGTCCCTAAAAATGCCAGTTTGACAGTTCTGGAGATTTAAATTACTTGTCTGTAGAACAGGTTCTACATTAGCAGTAGGTAGGAGAACTGGATCCAGGACTCCCAGATTCACGTAAGCCAACCATGTAGCTGTTGGACTGGAATTGGCATTTGTTTGGTGGTCTTGAACTGTGAGACCCCTCCGTGCTTTTTCCTTCCTGTATTGGATGGTGGTATGGATGAATGATCCAGTCGATGCAGAGACTAATGTCTCTTGTATTTCTCCATTTTTGTATTCTCTGTTTTTAAGCAATGCTAATTACTTGACAGTAACCAGAGCAGTAGCTTTTTTGGTTGAACTGCTCCAAAAGCTTGACTTGGGTGTACGTTAAGTTTCTGATGCTTGGCATAAAAGATTAGAACTAGTTTTACTCATTGAGCAATGGAATTGCAACTTCATCACTTCAGAGAAAATGATGCGAACTTGATGAGGCTGTCAGGTGTGATACTACCTTTTTTGTCTGAGTGTCTGGGTTGGAGAGAAAACTGCTACCTTTGACTCAGCTGTTCCTTTGCTTTTCCCAGTGCCCTGGACACAGCATGAATATGAGCTGGCCCAGTGGGCATTCAGGAAATGGAAGTTCCACCAGTTCACTTCATTAAGGGACCAGCTCTGGGGCAATGCTGTCTATCTGAAAGAGGCCAATGCCATCAGTGTGGAGTTGAAGAAGAAAGTAAGTGTGTGCAGAGCATCTTGTTGAATCTCCTGACTTGCAAGTGTGCACTCTGATATCTTGCTGTAAACTAGCAGAGACTTAAATTTTGCTGTAATTTTGCTTGGTTCTTTTTCTACTGCACTGCCATTTAAACTGTTCCAAGACTCGTGCCATATTATAGTTACCTCTATGAATTGAAATGGTATTGCTTGCAAATGGTTAATCCATTTTTCTGACCTTCATCCTCCTTATGCTGCCTCCTCTACTCACCATTCCAAAAGAACCCCATTAGAAATAAAATAATTTTTTTCTTATCCACTTCCAACCCCATGCTGGGTTGTATATCTTATCAAAAGTGGCTTTGGTTGGATTGGATTCCCATGTCTTCATGAAACTGCTCTTTTGGGTTCCTTTTATCAGAATGAAATAGGAATCCTATTTCTAATATCTCTGTAGGTACAGACGTTATTTATATTCACAGAATATAAAAAAATTGGTTTTCTCCTTTCAGGTGCAGTTTCAGTTTGTCCTCCTGACAGACACACTGTACTCCCCTCTACCCCCTGAGCTTCTACCTCCTGAGACAGAGAAGACCCGGGATAACAGACCTTTCCCTCGGACAGTGGTAGCTGTGGAAGTCCAGGATCTAAAGAATGGAGCAACACATTACTGGTCCCTGGAAAAACTCAAGTATGTAAATGTTATGTCAGAGTGAAATTTAAACCAAGATGCATGTGGCTGCTGCCCACTGGCCAATATCTCAGTTGGCTCCCTTGTTTATTTGAGGCTCTGTTTCAAAATTACTATTTTTCTAAAAGCCTTGCTAAATTTACCCCAATTCATTTCTCTACCTTAATCTCTTCCTCCTCTATTTGCCTACAACCTGGGTTTTTTTTTCGCCTAACCCTAACACTGTTGTACAGAAATAAAAGATGTTCATGGGTTTCCACGGGTTTCTCGCAGTGTTCATGGGCTTCCTGGGTTCCTGTTTTTATTTTCGTGCCTGTGTTCTGCAGCAGTGGTTGTTTTTTTTGCACTCTTAGGCTGTGTTCAGGTGAGCGCAGCTGTGAAGTATGTGGCGCTGCAGACACATCTGTGATGCCACATACCACATGTTCAGTAGGTCTCTGTGCTTTTTTTCCCCTCAGTCAAAAAAAACCTGCCCAAAAAAAGCAGAGCGCTGCTCAAACCAGAGTCTGGCTGGATGGAGCCACACTCTGGCTGCCAGCCAGGTTCTGCGTGGCAGGATTGCCACTGCTGCAGTCCCGGGAGGCTGCTGGGGCAGGCCAGTGTTGGCCCTAGCCTCCCTTACCCAACCTGGGGTAACCTGCGTGCCAGAGGGCACATGGCACAGGCATTCCCTGGGGACAACTAGCAGCGGTACAAGGTGTGCTAGTTGTCCCTGGGGAAACAAATCCACGCACATGTGGACACGGCCTTAGGGTGCAATTCAAGCATTTTGTAGCATGCGCCTTTAATAATCTTTCTGTCCTTGTGAGTTAACTAAAGTTTGTAGTGAGATCAGTTCACAGAAATACCACCACTTTTGGAGAGAAGTGGAGCATCTGTTTAATAGTGACCAGAAATGCTAGAGGCTAATGCTGGGTAGGAGATGCAGAAAGTGCTCAGTTGACACTTCAGGAAGAACTTGTGAAAGCTTAAATTTGACCAAGATGAATTTACTTTTAATGAGATGTGTTGATTTAAGGACCCTGGTTGGCCTTGAATTTTGCCTTTCATCCAGCAGATTTGCCCCAAAAGATGGCAACTTGGGCATCACGGTGATCTCTAACATTATGTTAAATGTTAGTACAGTAGAGAACCTGCCTGTTCTGACTCCTCCTCGCTGTATTTTTCTTCTCTTTGTCCATTTAACTCCAGTGCTTTTTTCTGTTCCTGTGGTCAACCTGCTTTCCCCCTTGCAGTTGTGCTTTTTTGAAATTATGAACTGACCACCAGTATTAGTGTCCTGTCTGTAAGGAATTTTAAATGCAAAATCTTAATTGTTGTGGGGGCTGCTTTTTTCTCTACAGGCAGAGGTTGGAGCTGATGCGGGAGATGTATGACAGGGCTGGAGAGATGGCATCCAACACACAGGATGAGAGTGAGAGTACAATGACTGGCAGTGACCCCTTCTATGATAGATTTCACTGGTTCAAGCTGGTTGGAAGGTATGTGATGACAATCCCGTCTCCTGGTATGTTCACCAACTTTTGTCCTTGCCAGGACAAACTTTGGACTTCAAATCAAGTTTTAAACTGCATAATCAATAGTGTCAGCTGTGTATATGGTCTCTCAGGGACTGGTGATCCATCCGGTAGACCCTTCTGATTTTCCATCCACACACGGGTAAAAAGCAGGAAGTGCTGTTCAGAATTTTCTTGATGCAGGTGTGCAGCCTTTCCAAGTCTAACTGATTTGAATTCACCCTCCATTAGGTCTAAGCTTTATTTGTGAAAGAGAGCTAGTTAAGCATTGTGTGAAGTGATTGGAGTAGTGGTCTTGAGAGGCTGAAGAGTTGTGGAAAATCCAGGGGGAAACTGGTCCAGGATTTCACATGGGCATGATGTTCAAGTACTGGTCATCGTTTTGGGAAGATTAAACATCTAGTAAAGAGATCTCGGAGGCTCTTTAAGACTTCCTGAGACTGAGCCGCCTCTTTATTTAAAACATAATGGTGGAATAACAGGTTATAGCTTCATTACGTAAAAGCATAATAGCATTGTAAATAACCGTATATGGTCACACTTGTTTGTATTCATGTTTCCTTTGCTTTCTGCTCAGTCCAAGGACCTCCTCTTTCCCTAACTCTCTCAGCAATTCCCTTCCTCCCATCTCACCCCAAATGATCTGAAGCTCTTGCTTGCTCTTCAGCTGAGCTCCATGCTGATGGCAGCAGCAGAGTGTTGAATGAAGCATTCTTCTCCCCTTGGTGTGTTAATCAAAGTTGTTCCATTAACTGATATCTAGCTCCCCCATTTTCCACGGCTGCGTGAATGAGCGTCTTGCTGACCGCACACCCTCCCCCACTTTCTCCACGGCTGACTCCGACATCACTGAACTGGCCGATGAGCAGCAGGATGAGATGGAGGACTTTGATGACGAAGCCTTTGTGGATGATACCGGCTCCGACGCTGGAACCGAGGAGGGATCGGACCTCTTCAATGATGGGCACGACCCGTTTTACGACCGGTCCCCCTGGTTCATTTTAGTGGGAAGGTTGGTGAGGTTATTGTGAGAACGGCCAAAAGGGACCAGCTCTTGTCAGAGGCTGCAGAGCCTTCATCTTATAGTACAGAGATCATTGACCAAACACATCTTTAAACTGCCATATCCAGAAATAGGCATTTATGGAACTTACAGATTCCAAGAATTACAGAGAAAACTTTAAAACTCATCTAGTAGGTCTACTCCTGGAAATCTCTTCAGACATCCTTTGCTTAGACTAGGTAGAATGGACGTTCCAGGTTTGAAAAAGAACCCATCTCAAGGGCTCTGCCTGAAATAGTGGTGAGGTGGTGTTCTTAACTATGTCAGCAAAGGGCTTAAGAAGTTTTTTGAATTCCACATAGCATAGTGAGTGTTTGATGTTGTTAAAAACTTGTGAACTGGTGCTTTTATGCATATTTAAAGATGCTAATGCCTATCTACACAACAGGTTATATGGAATTTAAGTATCATGTCAGCTACCTGCTTAGCATGTTTTAGAACATCAGCTAAATACCTTGTCCAGATATGGCTAAGGAGTTATCTGCCAAATGCAAGGAAGTTGTATGAAAAACGCTTACTGCTTTTTCTGATTACTTGAAAACTAGTTTTTATGATGTGGCCAACGGGCACACTGGCTAGCTCATTGATGGGGAAAACTGAATTGGGTATTGAGTGTCTTAACTTAGTCAACAGAGGGGCCTATTTTAAAGGTTGTGATTAGAGCTCAAGCTCCTGGACCCACTTTCTTTAAAAATAAAAATATGGTTATTAAAGATACAAGGGAGCAGTCAAGTCCTCTGCCTGTTGAGACCTATTGTACCTTAGGGCTCAACACTTGAAAGCCACACTTTAAAACTCCAGAGTTTTCAGATTACTCGGTGTCTTACAAGCTAGTAGGTTTTGGTGTCCAGTTTTCTTAATTGGGCTGTTTAATTGTTGGAAACCACCTACTGTATATTTGTTGAAAATGTTCTCTCTCGTACAGTGCTGGCATATTATGCTATTGTGCATATTCAGTCAGAGTGGGTCCGTCAGTGCTTGGGAAAAACTTGAGCTATTCATCTTCATTTCACAGTTACAGTGTCCAAACTCCTCAGGAAGCAGTCCACAGCCTGAGCCACTGCAGTGTATAAAGAGATCACTTGTGCTTCCTTGCCATTATATAACTTGCTTCCTGTGTCCACATATTTAAAAAAAAAAACAAAAAACAAAAAAAAAACAAAAACCCACTGAGTACTGCCTCTGCAGGCATGTTTAGGCAGTTGAGAAACAGTTCTGAAGCCATGTCAATTGTCCCTGTTAGAGCTTTGTTTCTCACCATTACTTTTAATGAGTAAAAGTGCATTCATAGTTCCCTGAATTTCCATGCGGTTTCTCTAACTGGCAGCTGATTCTCAGTCCATTCCCTTTACCTGTAGTTTAAATGGGATTATTTTTATGCTGCTCAGAGCTGCAGTAATCTGCAGCTGAGTTATGACTAAACCACACAAAGAGGGTTATGTAGCATCCATGAGCTAAACGGATTTCCACTCTTTAGTGTCTTCCAGTATGGGAGTTCTGTTTTTGTGCGTTCTGTATAGGGCAGCATACTTAACCATGTCCAATCCTATGTCCATCGAGACGGGCATTGTCCCCCGCAATGGCCAGTATGCATGTCAGATTGAAGCAAAGCTCCACTATAACCAGCTGTGCATTGCTGTGTGTAACGAGGAGAGTACAGTGGAACAGGAGGAATACAGGTCTTACCTGTGCTTCCCGGTGATGCAGATATGAGGATGAGCCGGTGACACTTGTTGTTTAGTTAATCACCCAGCCCTTATTAAGACAGCTGCAGCATTTCATTTTCTATGCCTTTTATCAGAACTGTAGTTCTTCAAAAAATAAAATAAAGAGCTGATCCCTTTAGCCATCTCTTCTGGCATGCTGGGATGTCGTTACAATTCTGACTCTCTTTAATGGTGTGACCCATCAAATATTGGATCTATTTTG